ATATATATATATATATATATATATATATATATATGAACTTATTTATTTATTAACTTATTAGTCTGCAAATTCACAGTGGTGACAAAAAAAACTACAGATGTAACCTCGAGTTCTTTGCAAACACTTTCATAACGCTGTTTTTTTTCAAATGTGAGCAATGACAAAAATTGTTTTGTCGGAAGACACGAAGTGATGTCCTTCTCACTTCTTCCAACGACCTTTAAACATGAGGTCCCGACGCTGAAAGCCACTTTGAAATACAGATGTAAACAAATCCAACAGAAGTTTGAAATCCGTAGCAGAACGAGCAAAATTTTCTACAGAGACTTTTCCTAGTAAAGCTTCTCTCTTTTTGGAAAGTAAAACAGTCTTGCTCACGAAACAGTATAGCCAGCTAGGGGAAATGGTGAACCTGGAACTGGAATTAGAATGACGCAAGTAAACTGTCGACTGTCGCAAGTTTAATAAACAAGACCAGCGAAGCTTCATCATCTATCAGCTGGAAACTTCTCAACCTTCAAACTTCCTCTTTTCCCAGCTGAACAGCCTCCCTTAGCTGTTCATCCTGCCTTGCGAACCGACAAAAACCCCCTCAAGAAAAAACCATTATTAGGCAGATACGACAATACTCTGTCAAAAAAAATTTAATTTATCAATATCTGTGTCGTTCATGACGTCCCACTAATAATTTTTTAAAACATAACTACATTATTACGAAAACCATTGTCTGCATAATTTCTGAAAAACCTTTTATAACCAAAATACTTTTAAAATGTCGATAATCCCACATTAAAATACTCAAAAATAAAAAACTTCGGAATATTCGACGTTAAGTGTGCATCCTTAAAACACTCACATCTCAGCACTAAGCAGACGTGAACTTTAGCAAAACATAAAAATCTTGCTCCATGACAGTTTTCTAAGAAAAGCTGACACTTTTAATTTTGTAATCGCAGTCTGTAAATTATAAAATTCAGTCCCTTACTAGCAAAGCAATCACTACAAAAATAAAAATGAAATGTACGACACAGAAACCATTCAAATACATAACAAGTATAAAGAAGCGTAAAATGAAAATGCAAAGGAACAAAAATAAACAGTAAAACCAGGTTTATCGGTTTTAAAAGACGAAATGATAAAGTACTTCGTACTTCTAAAACATACCCTGTGCATATAGTGAGACCAAAATTATGAAAAAATCCATTTAAATGCAAGAATAAATAGCATTATAATCATTCACAGGAAAGCATTTTCAGATGTGATACAGGACCTCGTGAACACTTAAAACCAGAAACGAAACAGATGTTAGCAGCAGCAATAACAAAAGTATTAGTAATAACAATATTAATTTGGCAATGTCGAAAATACCAATGAAATTAGCAGCAGTGGTAGCAGTAAGAACAATCGTACGATCAATAAAAAAGCAACCCGACAAGTAATTGTTTTGAGTCATTTCATGAATAGTAGCTTTCGCCTGCACCGTCAAAAAAATTCACAGATAAGCTTAGAGAAATGAGGAAACTAAGAATACGAATTAGCAGAAAAATATATACAGAACAATGATCACAGCTCAGAAATTATGCCACTGTCGACATTAATTAGGAGAACAAGATTAGGGACTTACCAACTTAAGTCCAAAATGTCAGTTGTTTTCTTTAAGTACAAAAGTCTAATCTGTTAAGCAACCAGATATAAAGACTTTAAAACAATTAAATATTGTTACATTAACTTAGTAAAGAGAAGGTGTTTGCGTACTGACGTTAATTGTTGATTTAGTGTCACGTTTCGTCCACTCCGGCATATGTATCATTGTTTTTAGTAAAGATGATTTAGCACCCCTAAAAAAGTTGGATAGAAACCTTAAAACAAAGAAAATTTAAAAAAACCAATCCCAGAAAGTAGAATTAGAAGAAATTAAGGAAAAAACAACGGTAAATCCAAAAGTACTTCCAGCCTGGAGTGTAGAAATCAATAAAAATTAAACACCAAACCAGGACTGTAACTGTCGAAATATATCACATTTTTGTAAAGATATGATAAAAGAAAAAATATTTTACGCATCAAACGTCTCAAGAACCCAAATTTCAGCCCAAAAAATAAAATTACAGTGGTGAAGAAATTGCACTGAATATGAAATAATATCGGGATTTTCTTCTCCACTAAAAAGCACACCCCAGAAAAAGAAAAAACCTTATACAGCTATTTGACGGTGAGAAAACCATTCTCATCAAGTTAATAACAGGTCTATTACCTTCATCCTCCTCCTAAGAAGAAAAAATAAACAAAATAGGAGGACAAACAAATAAATAAATAAATAAAATAAAACTGTTGTCAATGTCAAAACACGATTTGCCAAAAAAAAAAACTAGTGAACACAAGGAAATATTGAAAAACTTCAATAACTTCTACAGCAACTGCAGAACTGAAATTTTTAGGTCTAGTATCACGGCTTCATAAAATTAATTTGGTTAAAAACAGTTTGAAATCACACCCTCTTACAGTTTCACTAATGATTTGGAAATATTAAGAAAACATTTAACGAAAAAAAATACCTAGAGAGTTGTGTATTAGAAGTTAGCACATCTTCTGCAGCCGAATAAATTTCGTCCAGTAATTCTGGCCACTTCAACCAAAACCTTCTTTTTCCATAACTGCATATTTCTGCTAAACCCTGAGCACAACGGGACATCATATTTGTGTCTTCTTCGTCCTGAACATATTAGCGTGAAAAAACTGAATATATAAATAAGTAAACAAATGAAAATGCAGCGTACTCTCTTCCATCAATAAAAGTGAATCCCAACAGTTTCTCAGTGCTACAATTCTCACTAAATTAAAAACTGTGGTTGCAAATTTTTATATTTCCTCTGAAGGCTACGAAGGAAAACAATTAGCTAGTATATAAAACAATAAATACTTCATCAGTGATCGCCATTATCCAACGTTTTAGTTGCGTGATTATTTGAAACAAAATTTCATTAGATTCAAAATTAGAACGAGCGTGAGCTCTCGGCCAGTTTGCTGTCAGTAACTGAGCCACTAGTTCCGGAAGTGCTTCGTCGGCTATTTGTGGGGTTAGTGCAAACGACGACATTTCATCATCGATACGACTGGCAAAGCTGGACTGGAACTCCTTGTAATCTTAAAATTAATGTTCAAAAAAAAACATCACATGTAACGAATATGCAAAAAAAAAAAATGTAGAAACATGTAGACTAGAGAATTTGAACAAACTAAGTACAGCACAATTTTAGCCAATTCTGGAGGAAAGTGACTAGTTATTAGAAATGACAGAAACAAATAATCCATAAAAGTTAGTTTTTAGCAATTGGGCAGCTTTATCTAACTGGTAAATCGGCTTTTTAATTATGTGTCGAGAGAAACTAATAAAAGATCGTTTTAAACTAACAAGTGAAAGAACTTTTTATAAAAACAGTACCTGAAAACCTTGAACCAGTTAAGTCAATATTTTTTCAACCACCCTGTAAAATAAAGTACCCAATAAGCCCTCAAAAAATCACTTACAGCTCTTACGAAACTTCATACAAAATGATTAACATTTCAGTTTTTGCAAATACCTACCAATTAAACATATCGCCATGTCTACAGCAAAATAAATGTCGCTATTACGAAGAGCTGTGTCAAATAGCATTTCGGATACACGTTGCCAATCCTTAGCTTCAAACTTAGCGACATTACGTGATGTCAACAAGTTTTCTGTAAAAAAAGAGCTGAAGAATACGGAAAATTTAGAATTTTTCTTTTTGAAAGTATGATGCCTGAAAAATGACTGAGACCTGGGAACTTTTCAATAATATTTAAAAGTACACATTTTGAAATGCATCCAAATCCTTACTGATATCATTTGCCGAACTTGCCTTGTCAAGGCACATTGCATTAAACTTCTCCACTAAATCTTCAGCACTTTCAACATTAGCTTCACTCTCTGGGCTCGTATTATTCCGCCGTGGAATACGTCCACCGCGTTTTCCACCTGATAACGTCATTTGAATCCCCTGTAACAACCGGCGATCTCTCCTGGCATTGATTTCTGCACTTTTTAATGCCTTTCTTTGCTTCTGCTCATCGGATATGGGACCCAATTCAACAGCAGCGTCAGTCATTAGTAAAATAAAAACCTGAATAATACCAGATTTTATTTATGCACCAAAAATGATTAAAACATTCTTGCTAGAGCAGTAGTCGTCAAATGGAGAGTAATTACAGAAGAAACGCAAGAGTTAAGCGTAAAAGTGGTTTCTCAGGAAGTAGTAAACTTTCGTTAAAACCACGACTTAGAGCCCCCGTAAAAACTTCTTCCCAAAACAGGTTTTTTTATTTCCTGAAGGGATACCTTATATCAGTTCCACCATCCCCCTCCAAATCCTCTCTTTTATTTCTACGAAAAATCACTTTAAGTCCACCTCTAGAATGCCACACCAAGCCAGCTTATCTAAACAAGCATATAGAACCAATCAAGTTTAAAAAAGCTTCAAAAGCACACTACTTGAGAATGTTAAACTACGAAATTACTGTTACTAAGATGGCGGTGAGAAACGACAAAAAAATAATAATAATGATAATTATCCTAAAGGGCAAACAGAAAAAGATAAATAACAGCATTTATCTGTCATCACAGCAGCGTAAGAAATTTGTTTATTCAGCTTTACGTCGTAGGCAACTTCACAAAATAGTGAATTCATAAAGTTTTTTACAGCAAGATAGAAATCTCATAATCCATAAAAATTTCTTCAATGAAAAATTCTCAAAAAACCCACATATCTCCTGTTCTGTGATATGCTACATAACACGTGTAGAAACTACAACTTAAAAAGAAGAGCCCTGTTAATTGAAAAGCAATAACAGTAGTCTTCTGCCCACTTTAACAAAACAAACATACCAGAAAAAAAAGTTCGTAAAATAAGCTAAGAATCAAGCCATAGAAC